ATGGCTTAAATACTTTAAAAAGAAAAGGAAAAGAAAATGAATTGAGAATTTTATGGTATTTACCGTAGGAGTGATTTATTAAAAATAAAAAAGCGTAGATTGATTATGTGAATTTGAGAATAATAATTTGTGAATTTAAAATTAAAGAGAACACATTTAAGGATATATGTTTTAATAGGTAAGATTTACTTATGCTCATAATCTACTGTTAGAATATATATTTAAGATACAATATGAGGATTTTATGGCTGATTTATAGACAAATATATAAAGTTTATGGCATATAAATCATTTTGCTTAGGTATATTCTTATATTGTAACAGATTCTGGTTTTTTAAAATTGGTGGCTTAGGTTGTATATATATATAAATTTAGAATCGATCTTATAGTCAACATTATTATGAACTGGTTAGGTACAGTTGGGTTTTTTAAAATGAACAAATACAAATAGGAATGGTCGAGCGGATAGACTAGCTAAAGAGGCGAGAAGAAAAGAATCTACGTTTTCCCATATAGATCAGACCATGACGGACGGAGATGCTCCTAGGGGGATCAACTCGTCTGTTCACCACTTGATCTAGCTTTAGATGAGCGGCTGACCAAAAAAAAAAAAAAAAATTCATGTATATTCATGGTTTTTGCCACAACGCGTGCTAGTGTGACTTACGGTTCCCTCAAAGTCTGAAGAGAAAATGTATAATATACCTTATACAATTTTACTGTGTTTACAATCCTAATACTAAACGAGACTAATCATCTGCGGCGGTCTATACACTACAAGAATTTATTATTTTAGCTACCGATTAATTTGTAGCTATTAGACATAGTTCGTACCTAGAATTAAGAAGGCGAATGATAACGACAGATTGTTTTCTTGGCCTCAACACCGACGCTAAACTCAATCTGTAGTCATTTCATAGCTAACTAGCAACAAACTAGCTAAACCAATTTCCGTAGCCAATATCAACAACATAGTTACGGCTTATTTCTTTGATTAACTGGAAAATTTGTCAAATATGACTCCAAATTTGGTTTCAAATGCAAAAATAAATCTAAACACGAATCAAATGCAAAAGTAACCTCAAAGGCTATTGAAATTACAATTAGCCCCTTGTGAACCAACCAAAGACTCGAATTTTTTACGTTTCTAACCCCCGCAACTATTCTGTCCAGATGACTTTCAATTAAGCCGTATGCACGACTTAGGGTCCGACTGGTTTCCCCGCTACCACCCGCAAACGCAGCTTTTGCGATTGATGGCGATTGCTAGCGTTTTGCAACAATCACAAAAACCGCTACAAATCGCTTCAAACCGCTCCCAACCTCTTAAAATCAAAAGCTGGTTTCAGCTATCGTTTGCGTTTGCGGGCGATTGCGGGTGGGTAAAAAAACTATTTTTCTTTTAAATTAAAATTAAAATATAAAAATAAAAATAATATAACTAAAACTATATCTACCTTTTATTTTTTAATTTAAATTCACTAAAAATATCATAATCTATTTATAAAAACTTTAAATCAAGAATTTTCACTATATTTTTCAATATTAAATATATAAATATATAAATATATAAATATATAAATATATAAATATATAAATATATAAATATNAAAACTATATCTACCTTTTATTTTTTAATTTAAATTCACTAAAAATATCATAATCTATTTATAAAAACTTTAAATCAAGAATTTTCACTATATTTTTCAATATTAAATATATAAATATATAAATATATAAATATATAAATATATAAATATATAAATATATAAATATATAAATATATAAATATATAAATATATAAATATAAATATACATATATAAATAAATAAATAGATAAATATATAAATACATAAATATATAATTAATTATATTATATTATATTATAATATTTTATTAATTATAGAAATTATATTTTCATCTAAATAATAAAAATAATATTGTTATTACTTATAATATATTAATAGTTATTATTTTTATCATAACAGTATGTTTTGATATTTTTATAATGTTATAATATGTTAATATTGGAAATTTATTATTGAACCGCTGTAATATCTCATAATCAACCAGTCATAAATGTCCCGCAAACGCACCAGTTTTTAATCGCTGTACTAGTCGTACAAATCGTCTAATAACGCTAGAAACCGCAACCACCCACATCCGCAAACTCCCGCAACCGCAATCGCAACCGCTGCGTTTCAACCAGTCAGACCCTTAGTTGAAAGTCGTTTAATATAGTTATTCTTAAAAATATTTTGAAAATTTTCTAAAAAAAATTATTTAGATAAGTGAAAAATTAAAATCGTGTAATTAACATATGTTTTATAAGATATAAATTAAGATATAACAAATTTTAATTGTTTTTAACATATATGAGTGAAAGTAGTGAGTCATGATATTCTTTGGTTTAGATTTTGCCAACATGTGTTATAGTATTGTATGTGTTTCTTAGGGTTAGATTTTCGAAATCATAAATGTTTTTTTGAAAAATTTAAAATTTACCTAAGTGTGTTTATTTCTGTGTATAGTAAACACCATTTAAGTATAATTTGATTTTATAACGTGGTTAATTAGTTTATTTATTCAATTTAGTTTAGGGTTTAGGGTTTAGGGTCAGGACGACTTACTATTAAGTCGTCTGATAAATATATTTAAGTAAGTCGTCTGATGTATAGTATTCAACTGACGACTTACTAATAAGTCGTCCAAATCGGACCGAACCTTTGATTTTACCAATTTACTTTTAAACCTAACCGAAATTTTTACTGGACATATATAAGTTTTTTTTATTACTCAATTTTTCGGGAAATTCAAAAAACCCTAACGCCGTTTCTCTCAATGGTAATTTCAAAGGCGATTTCCGTAGAATCTCTCTAATCCATCGTTCTCATCGCCGGTTATCTCTCCGCCTTACCACCGTCGTTATCACCCCGTTCTCACTGCCGCTTCTTCTATTTCAGATGTGAGAGTAAACCCTAGCGCCGTTTCTCTTAGAGGCATTTCGTTGAACTCCGCCGCAGGTAAGTTATATCAAAAGAAGAACATGAAACATCGTTCTCACCGTCGTTCTCATCGCACTTCTTTTTTCACGTCTATTTTTGCAGATCTATAACCGCTGTATTGAAGGCGACTATATCTTTTCTCCGAATTTTCAGGTCAGCTTTACAATGTTCTACTGGAAGTCTTTCAACTGGAAGACTTGACAGACGAATTATAATTAAGTCGTCTGGAAAGTCTTCTAGACTTATAATTAAAATGTTATACTGGATGGTTGTGTGTTTGAGATGGTTGTCGATTGTTTTGCAGAAAAAATGGATATTCCATAACTCTCCCGTATGATACATATAATAGGGCAAGAACCCCCCCCCCCCCCCGCATTACATAGCATTTCGTATCATCCGTGTACGAAGTTGTATATTGCTCTAAGGAATGCTCTTAATGATGACGAGTATGAAGAGATGAAGGAGTCTAAGTTGGAAGTTTTCATCAAAGAGCTGGAATTTGATTGGGCTTCAAGGCTGGTTCACTACATGCTCGGTTTCCAACTCGACATAAAGAAGAAATATAAGCTGTGGAGTCTTGTTGGTCCACAACCTTTGAGGTTTTCACTATTAGAGTTTGAATACATAACTGGTCTACGTACATCGAGGACCTTAAGAGACCAAAATGTTTTGTTTTAAAGGAGTAAGCTGCTTTCTGGGAGTTTTTGGGAGTTCATGTCGAAGTTGGGAGTATGGTCAGGAAGTTCAAATAAATGAGAAAAGAAAAACATAAGTGTGTGAATACATATGCAGGCTAAAGAAGATAATAAACAAACCAGAGAGTAACTCTACTGCAGATACAAATAGACAAAAAAAATAGTATAACGTACATGAAATATGGTTCAAATTCTTTAGCAACAATGCATGTTTGATCAATAACTTCTATCCAAAGTACTATATAAGACACTCAAAAAGAAATTATTCAATTCTATATCCATTGTCATGGATATAACCATGGAGAAGACAAAAGACTGTGTTTTAAATTATAGTAACATATGGCCATCTCATATATAAGACGGAGTTAAGGAAATAGACGATTATATAAGACATAGAGGCGAGATAAATCTCTTTCCTTAACTCTTAATATTCGCTCCATAGTGAGACGAAACTATACGAATATCGAGTCCCAGGATACAACCATGGCAGACGAATCACGCTTCACTCGTGAAACGACCTAACGAACTAAAATTCTACGAACACTCCCTTTAAAACTTACGCGGAGAGATTGCTGGATTTTTTCTGTGTAAAAAACGATGTCCAATGAGAGAGGAGAAGATGAGTATTTAAAGAAGAAACGAGAGTTCGAATTTTGTAACTGGCGGAGCACGTTAGCGAAATATTCTCGGAGATCTCGGGAGTGGAGAGTTGAGAAACTTTCTCCGCAAGATTTTCTTCTTTGACTCGTTCTGATCTTTTACGAACATATAAACTTCATGTTGTTTTTAATACGAACTTCATGTCGTTTAGAAAAACATCATGCTGTTTTTTTATTTAAAAATGGCAAAACGTTGAGCTTAACTTTGTCCAAAAAGATAATTTCTTATCGGGCCAAAGGCCCTCCACCCAATCCTAAGCCCATGCCAAGCCGGCCGGACGGCGGTGACAACACGCGCGTGGGGAGCTCTCTCTACCTCTGAGCCGTTTGAACCAAGGTATATCTGATGACAAATATATACAGCTCCTCCTCACTTGTTTTCCTCGATATAGGACAAGTTCTCCTCTTCATTCATTTAGTTCTTGGGTTTATATAATAGACAAACCCAAGAGTCATTTGTTTTCATTTTGTTATTAAAGCCCTTTGGGTTTTAATGATCCAACAAGTTTATGAACAAAATACATTATAACAAGAACACCGAGTGATCTAGCTTTCCACATATGATCAGTCTCAGAGATCACAGTTCTTTTTAACCAGAAGGAAACTTCAACACATGACTAAAGGTAACCAAATGTAAGAATTTACAGCTCAACCTGGAAAGCCACCACATGAGATGTGTTGATAGTCGTCAAACGGTTCTCTCCTGAGAATCTCCAAAAGTTGAAGTCATCTTCCTCACGTCCTGTGTTTACTCCATATTTATAAGAGTGAGTTACATTTCCTGGCCCCCCAATGAACAACACTGAGTCCCCACTCAGACCACAACCATCAGGGAGCTCCTTAGCACAGCATGAGACGTTTCCAAGATATCCAATAAACAACACACGACCTCCAACATCGCTGACCTCAACCCACGTACCAGCCTCATCATCTAGCTTACTCACTCTACATGCCAACCGACTCAAATCCAACACACCAGTAGGAGGGAGGATTTTCTCAACCAGGAAAAGTTCATCATCATTTCCAGTGGGAACCAAATACTTTACCGAGCGCAGAGGCTGCAAGGGCATCAAGGGAATCTCGTCCAGCGAATAAGGATCGATAACGAAAAGATCCCTATTAAAAAGGTTTGCATAAAACTTACCTCTAAAAGGAACTATATCCTCGCATGAAGTATCTGATAATTTCTTAAGCTGTACCCAACTCATTTCACAACTTCTTAACATAAACAATGAATTAGTGAAGTTGAGAAGCACAATGGACTCTCCAGCTCCTTCCTTAAAAGCCACACCTCTGTAGTTTCTCGTTCTCCATTCTTCAACGTCCCAACTAAACATTCTGCACTGATGACCCAAAGGGAAGACCTGACAGTCAACCACGTTCAACATGGCTTGATCAACTCCATGGATATTCAGTTTCACTGAACACTGAAGGGGAGATGGAAGCTTCATATGATCTTTTGACTCATCTCGGCTTATCCTTCCTAAGAAATACTCAGCAGCAGCAGCAGCAGATTTGACTCTAAAGAGAAACAAAGGGACCTTCTCGAGGGTGAAAGAGCCTTTGTTTTCGAGAGGGAAGTGGGGAAACGTGGGGAGAGAGTAACTTGAGCGTAGCAGGCAAGAAGGAAAGGGAATCATGGATCGCCACGTGGTGCAAACAGAGCGAGCATGAACAGCATCAAATTGTCAAGATTCTGGAAGATGAAGGGGAGTAGCTCCTCCGGTAGAACAGACCAGTCTAGCATCTCTTCGAAACTAAAGAAAAGAAAAAAGAATTATCTGTTGGATTAAGCTTGGACATCAAGCAACACTAAAAGAGTTTTGGAAGTTATCCTAAAGTGTTTAGGAGTTAGCTAAACACATTGAGATTAGGATAAAGATAAATGGAAATGTTCCTTTGTGAGATTTTAGGAAGTTTCGTGTTATATATAAGTAGTTGTCGGGTTGTGACAAAACTTATGATTTGAGAGATTGATTGCTTGAAGAGCTTTAGTTTTTGAGATAGTTTTCTAAAGCTAATAATAAGAAGAGAAGATCTTATTAATCTTGGTTTATCTTTTGCTTAAGTTCTATATTTGGTATCAGAGCATCTAAAGATGACCGAGAAAGCAATCACCACCCACATAAATACACAACCAGTGAAAGAAAATCCTTCTCTATCACCTGTCCAATGCTCAACTCAACGAACAATACAGTCTGGTCTATGAGAATGAAAATTTTGCTCAAGGTGAAAGAGGTTTGGGAGATCATTGAGGGAGGAGTCGAATCATCTGATGGAAAGAAGAATAATATGGCTATAGCCTTGCTGTTTCAATCCATACCAGAAGCCCTACTTCTGCAAATAGGGGGACTTGACACAGCGAAGAAGGTTTGGGATGCCATCAAGGCACGCTACGTAGGAGCAGAAAGAGTTAGAGAAGCTAGGTTGCAGACCCTAATGTGTGACTTCGAGCGCTTAAAGATGAAAGATACAGAAACAGTGGATGAGTTTGCAGGCAGAGTATCAGAGATTTCATCAAAGGCGAGTGCTCTAGGGTCGATCTTTGAAGAGTCAAAGTTAGTAAAGAAGTTTCTTAATAGTCTTCCCCGACGAAAGTATCTTCAGATTGTAGCCTCCTTGGAGCAGGTATTGGATCTTAACACAACGACTTTTGAAGACATAGTTGGACGAATAAAAGCATACGAAGAAAGACTTAAAGAGGATGAGGAAGAGGAGCCTGTTCAAAACAAACTTATGTATGCCAATACAGAGGCTCAGCCAGACTATGCAAATTCTTACGAATCCAGAGGAGGATACCGAGGAAGAGGAAGAGGAGGACGATACGGTTCACGGGGAAGAGGGCGTGGTCGTGGGAGAAACAGAGACCCTTCTCAGGTTACATGCTTCAGATGTGATAAGANGATGAGGAAGAGGAGCCTGTTCAAAACAAACTTATGTATGCCAATACAGAGGCTCAGCCAGACTATGCAAATTCTTACGAATCCAGAGGAGGATACCGAGGAAGAGGAAGAGGAGGACGATACGGTTCACGGGGAAGAGGGCGTGGTCGTGGGAGAAACAGAGACCCTTCTCAGGTTACATGCTTCAGATGTGATAAGATAGGTCATTACGTGTATGATTGTCCCGACCGGTTACTTAAACTCCAAGAAACTAGAGAAACTCGAGAGACTGATAGAGATACAGAGATATCAGACGAACTTATGATACATGAAGTCGTTTTCTTAAATGAAAAGAAGTGTCTACCAAGCAAGTTCGAAACAAACACAGATGGAGAAGATGTCTGGTACCTTGATAATGGAGCTAGTAATCACATGACCGGAGATAGAAGATACTTTCACACACTTGACCAAACTATCACAGGGAAGGTTAGGTTCGGAGACGATTCACGAATAGACATAAAAGGAAAGGGTACAATAGCTTTTGTTGATCTTAATGGGAAACCTAGAAAGATGACCAACGTGTATTTTATTCCTGGTCTTAAAAGTAATATAGTGAGTCTTGGTCAAGCAACAGAGGCTGGCTGTGATGTTAGGCTAAGAAAAGGATACTTGACGATGAAGGATCGAACTGGGAAGTTACTAGTCAAAGCAGAGAGATCACCAAACCGACTGTACAAGGTTCGAATGGGATTAAAAGATAGTACATGTCTCTATCTAACAACCATGAGTGAGGCAAATAAATGGCATGCCAGGATGGGACACGTGAATTACCAAACCCTGCAGTCTATGTTTGATAAGAAGTTGGTCAGTGGAGCACCAGCGATTACACTAGAAAAGGAGATATGCAGTTCTTGTTTACTTGGAAAACAAACAAGGAGGATGTTTCCACAAGCTACAACGTATAGAGCAACCAAAAGACTTGAACTTGTCCACGGTGATCTCTGTGGACCAATCACGCCAAGTACGAGTGGAGGAAAACGCTATATTCTTGTCCTGATAGATGATTATACACGATACATGTGGATAAGTTTGTTGAAAGAGAAGAGTGAAGCGTTCCAGAAGTTCAAAAACTTTAAAGCAATGGTGGAGAAGGAGATAAATGAGAGAATTCTGACATTTAGAACGGACAGAGGAGGAGAGTTTGTGTCTGACGAGTTCAATACATTTTGTGAAGCTGCAGGAATTCAGAGACATTTAACAGCCCCATATACTCCACAGCAAAATGGAGTGGTAGAGAGACGAAATAGGACACTAATGGAGATGACTCGTAGTATCTTGAAGTACAAACATCTACCGAACTATCTTTGGGGTGAGGCTGTAAGACACTCCACCTATCTGCTTAATAGAATAGCTACGAGATCCTTAAAAGATAAGACACCTTATGAGCTCTTCAGAGACAAGGTACCTAGTGTTGAACACATACGTATCTTTGGGTGTATTGCATATGCAAAATTCGAATCTCCAAATTTGAAAAAGCTAGATGATAGAACACGAGTACTGGTTCACTTGGGAACAGAACCAGGCTCGAAAGCTTACCGTCTCTTAAACCCACAAACGAGAAAAGTGACTGTAAGTAGGGATGTAGTATTTGATGAAGAAAAGGGCTGGAGCTGGAAATCTAATGGTGCTACAGAGGATAAAGAAGATGCTCTTAGCATCAAGATTGGTGAGTTTGGGAATCGTGGACTTCAAGAAGAGGAAGGAGCAGATACTGAGACACAAACACGAGCTATTGAAGAAATATTGGAAGATTCAGAGAACTCTGCAGTTAAGACAAGTACTGAGGTTCAAGAGGAGATTCCTGCACGGACAGATATTGCTCCAGTGGCATTAAGAAGATCACAGAGAGAAGTCCATCTACCTAAATACCTAGAGGATTATGTTCTTCTTGCAGAGGAAGAAGGACAACTATTACTTCACTGCATGGATAATGAACCGAGAAATTTTGCAGAGGCAAAGAATACAAAAGAGTGGGTTAAAGCATGTGAAGAAGAAATTAGCTCTATTGTGAAACTCAGAACTTGGGATCTTGTTGACCTTCCACTCGGTGTTAAACCTATTGGCCTCAAGTGGGTCTTCAAGTTAAAAAGAAATTCAGATGGCAGTGTGAACAAATATAAAGCAAGGTTAGTTGCCAAGGGGTATGTGCAAGAATATGGAGTGGATTTTGAAGAAGTCTTTGCTCCGGTTGCCAGATTAGAAACCATCAGACTTCTCATTGATCTTGCGGCTGCATATGGTTGGGAAATACATCATCTTGATGTGAAAACCGCATTCTTNAGTTAAAAAGAAATTCAGATGGCAGTGTGAACAAATATAAAGCAAGGTTAGTTGCCAAGGGGTATGTGCAAGAATATGGAGTGGATTTTGAAGAAGTCTTTGCTCCGGTTGCCAGATTAGAAACCATCAGACTTCTCATTGATCTTGCGGCTGCATATGGTTGGGAAATACATCATCTTGATGTGAAAACCGCATTCTTACATGGAGAATTAAAAGAAACAGTGTATGTGTTGCAGCCAGAGGGATTTGAAGTAGCAGGAAGTGAAGAAAAGGTTTACAAACTTAATAAGGCACTGTATGGTCTACGACAAGCTCCAAGGGCTTGGAACAATAAGCTCAATCATATCCTTGTTGAACTCGGTTTCATCAAATGCTCCAAAGAGCCATTAGTATACCGTAAGAAGCTAGGAGAAGATTACTTGGTAATTGGAGTTTATGTTGATGATTTATTTGTCACAGGAACGAGTCTTGTAGCTATTAATGAGTTTAAGGAGGAGATGTCCTCAAAGTTTGAGATGAGTAACCTTGGAAGGCTCACATACTATTTGGGAATAGAAGTTCTGCAACATCAAGAAGGAATAACTTTGAGTCAGCGGCGTTATGCACAGAGAATTCTAGATGAGACTGGAATGAAAACCTGCAATCTTGTGCATACACCAATGGAGGCTGGATTAAGGTTATCAAAATACGAGAATGAGAAAGAAATCGATGCCACATTGTTCAGGAAAAGCATTGGTTGTCTCAGGTACTTACTCCATACACGACCAGACATGTCATATTGTGTTGGGGTATTGAGCAGGTATATGCAGAGTCCTAGAGAAACACACGGCGCAGCTATAAAGCAGGTTTTAAGGTATCTAAAAGGCACTATATCTCTCGGTTTGGTGTTTAGAAGATCAAAAATACCAAAGCTGATAGGTTATAGCGACAGTAGTCACAACATAGACCCATATGATGGACGAAGCACTTCAGGACATATTTTCTACTTGGGAGAGAGTCCTGTAACCTGGTGTTCTCAGAAACAAGACGTTGTTGCCTTATCTTCGTGCGAAGCAGAGTTCATGGCTGGGACAGAGGCGGCTAAGCAAGCAATCTGGTTGCAGGAGTTGTTATGCGAGATCATGGGAGGTTCTTGTGAGAAAGTTGAGATTCGTATTGATAATCAGTCTGCAATTGCCTTGACTAAAAATCCAGTGTTTCATGGTCGCAGCAAACACATTCATCGAAAGTTTCATTTCATACGAGAATGTGTTGAGAAAGGTCAGGTTGAAGTAACACATGTTCCAGGGAGTGAGCAGAAAGCCGATATTCTTACTAAGGCATTGGGAAGAATCAAGTTTAAAGAGATGAGAGACCTCATTGGAGTTCAAGACTTAGAGAAGATGGATTTCAAGCTTAAGGAGGAGAATGTTGGATTAAGCTTGGACATCAAGCAACACTAAAAGAGTTTTGGAAGTTATCCTAAAGTGTTTAGGAGTTAGCTAAACACATTGAGATTAGGATAAAGATAAATGGAAATGTTCCTTTGTGAGATTTTAGGAAGTTTCGTGTTATATATAAGTAGTTGTCGGGTTGTGACAAAACTTATGATTTGAGAGATTGATTGCTTGAAGAGCTTTAGTTTTTGAGATAGTTTTCTAAACCTAATAATAAGAAGAGAAGATCTTATTAATCTTGGTTTATCTTTTGCTTAAGTTCTATATTATCGCATAAAATCTATTTTTTTAGCCAATAATAACAGTAATAATTCGAGTTCTTGAATCCTGTAAGAAAAAAAAAAACTGATCAGTATAGACAATAACAAGATTTATTTACCAACAAAAGAGTGAAAACAGAGTAACAAGATCCAGTTCTTGATTCCGGTAAGAGAATGAATCATTTCGTACCTGGATTAGAAGTTTAGAGATCTAAAAGTCAAACAAGATCACTTCAGTTCCTTTGTAAGTAGACCAAGAATCGAGAAGTAGAGATAGATTCTTCTGGTGATTGGCAATTTCCATTTGCCTTCTTTTGGTTACCGTAAGTCAAAGGCTCTGGTGACAATTAAAATAGAAATAGGAATGAGTAGGAAAATAATAAGTAAGAACAAAATAAAAGGAATGAAAAAGAATATTTATTACTTTGGTTCCATATCAATTTTGGTAAGGATTGTTTTTGTTCTATAATTCCTTCCTTAGAATTCAAGGAATGACAAGGAATCATACGTAGAAAATATTTCTTATGAATGATGTATTTTTTAAGGAATAAGTAGGAATTGGTTATTCCCCTTCGTTCCCTATATTACCATTTAGACCCAAAGGTTACTCATCAGAAGCGTTATCAGTTATCACTATATATGTCGGATGATTGACTAACAAAAGCTTGGTTAAAGTAGGTTTTGAATTATTATTTTTTAAGTTGAAATATGGAATTTAGAAATATAGGAAGTGTATGTAGATTGTTTCACAAATAATGAATTTGTGTGGACTATTGAGGTATGAACTAGCTATTACTAGGGCCGGGCAGAAGGTAAATATTCACTATTTTATATGTACTTGACACTTGACTTGTCTAGTACCATTAATAGAATATTAGACTTGTATTGGCATTTTAAAAATGAGTATTTGCTATCTCAAGTAATTGCACAAAAATGAGTTACTTGTAAATTATTTACCATGTTCTATTACTTGCAACTTAAGAATACTATGAGTACTTCTGAGTATTAACTGAATAATGTTCTATTAAAAATGAACAGTAAATATTTTTGTTTACTCTACTTAAAAGAATATGAAATTACTTTAAACACAATATTTGTTTCTATTATTTATAAATAAGAAAATATAAAAACATGAATAAGAAAAATATCTTCTCTAGAAAAGTACGGATAGTAGCAAGTCAGATATTTAAGTTTTTCTTACTTGTTACTATTTAATGGCTGACTTGATGACAAGGAGTACTTGAAAATCAAAAAGGATATGAACAAGTAAAGAGTATAGGACTATAACGAATATTTGTGTCTAATCCTAAATGTAAACAAAAGAAAAGGCAAATATTATTAACAAGTAACAAGTATATAATAGATCATATAATGAGTAGCAAGTAACATGACAAAAGACAGCCAAATACTAAAAAGTATTATGATATTTTATACTTGGTTTGGTCTTACAAATAATGAAATTTCTTAATTGTTATTGCCTTGGCAACCTCAAATACTAAACTTTTCAAGTTGAGTTGGGTACAAATCAAGTAGTGAATTTAATCTGAATAACGAGTAATGGTGTCAAGTCCTAGCCATTCTTTTTGTACATCAGCATAAATATTATAACCAATAAGATATGTCTATTTTACTAAATGTTTTTTTTTAACTATCAACATAACTTTGCAATCCTCTCCAGCTAGTCCTAACAAATGATGATTGAGATTCAACATTATTTAAATCATGAAAGTTGAAACTCTTGTATCATCGGCTTCCAGAGAATTTTTATATATATATTCTTTTTTGGTAAAATGTTAATAAGATAGAATTTATATTTTTGAAGAAAATAGGTCATAAAAATGTTTTATCTTGCAAGAACTTTATTTTCTAAGTACGGAAAAGTTGTAATCGTGAAAGTTCAAATGAATAGGCTGGATTTTGACTAAAGTGTGAATGTCTAAAGTAAGGCAAGTTTGACTAAATGTCTCTCCAGAATTATACGATAGGATAGTCTGGTCACAAGAAACTAGTTAAGAAAAGTATTATTGAGACTGAGTCAAACCATTGATGATGAGATTTGACCAAACTAAATAAAGAAACAACATTGATGCATTCTCTTGCCTAAGTAGTTCATTGCACTGACTTTCACAAGCCTTTTCATCGGTCATGAGTTCAATTCCCCCTGAAAACTAAATTATCATTACTTGATCAGTTTGGATATAAATTTTTGTTCAAATGGTTTACTTTGTAGATCATAATAGATGATCAGATTCTCTTGACATTAGTCGAAAGGTATTTTAAATCTGCATTAGACAGTATGGTAATCAGTAAACTCTATATCATTTAGTGTGTTTTTTCCGGTGACCGATTGGATCAAGGATATATCAAAAAAAATAAAGTCGATGCAATGACGAGATGATAGTGATAGCCAATGATTTATTTTTGGAGATTTAAAGCATTGGTTGCTACAAGATATATAGAAGTGTATGCATGTGGTTCTTTTTTTTTTGGGTTTGAGTGTATGATTAGTGATAGGGGTCGGTCTTCAAAATTTATGGGGATGAAACATCTAATAAGCATATATATATATATATATATTTAATTGTTTAGGGTGAAAATATATATATACACATTATTAATCATTAATATTTTGAGGATCATAAGTAAATGTTTTATTTTACTATGCTCATAAATTAATGGCTATGTTAGTGATTATGAAGAAGTATGTGTGTATTTAAAGAGGAGTTGATTAGGGTATGATGCTTGATTATAGGTAGTTGAAGGAAGTTTGAAGAGTTTTTGATTGTTACTCTACTATACTGCAAATTAGGTGATAATCCGCGTTTTGCGCGGAATAAAATTATTAATTTCTTTATTTCTCAAACTTCTATTTTTTTTATCTTTTTGGAACTTCTTCTTCTTCTAACATATTTATTGTTCAAGCATGCTCATAGTTTAACACACTGAAGAACAACGTTATGATGAAGAGACGTCATCATCTCCTCCGTTCTGGTCTTGCAAGTAACAGAGAACTCCTTGAGCATACTTCAGAGATTAGAGAGATAGAAGAGGTTTGTACAATTGTACTTACGGGTTAGTGTTTCTTTTAGACTTCTCTTTCTTATATCTTCTTGGGACTTCTTCTTCTAACATATTTATAGTTCAAGCATGTTCATAGTTTGACACATTGAAGAACAACGTTATGATGAATAGGCGTCATCATCTTCTCCATTCTGTTCTTGCGAGTAACCGAGAACTCCTTGAGCATGCTTGAGAGATTAGAGAGTATAGAAGAGGTTTGTACTTTCGGGTTAGTGTTTTTCTCGAACTTCTCTTTCCTTATCTATTATCGGGACTTCATCTTCTTATAACATATTTATAGTTCAACCATGCTCATAGTTTGACACATTCAAAAACGACCTTGTGAGATGAAGATGTCACGTTGAAGAACAAAAATACAAAATCACGTGTCTTTGATAAATCACGATCGAGTTTCTTTCCCTCTACGTTGAAGAACTATTTAAAAAAAGAAAACAAACTATTTAAAACAAAAACCTCAAAAGAATGAAGAATAAAGAAATAAATTTAGGAGAGTGTCTCTCCAATCCACACGTGTCCAACTTAGTGTGAAATGATTAAAATGATTCTCTTTTAATATATAGGAAATAACTAAAACGTGTTCAAAAAAAAAAAAGGAAATAACTAAAACATACTTGTTTCACAGGAAAGATGGATATGAGAAGCAAGGCCAACAATATATATTTCCTTTTTTAAAATATACCATCATAATGATAAGAAAAAAGGAAACGTCGACAAAAAAATAATAGTAGAAAACGAAACATCACCCGAACATACATTTCCTTTCTAATTTGTTTTCGTTCGTTACAGATGTTTCCATTTTGGTATTAACTCTTTACTTTCCATTATTAGACTCGAAGATGAATAATTTGGACCTTATAAATAAACCTTTAACCCTCTCATTGTTTCTTACAAATCACTTGATCGTAGTTGCAGAAAACAACAAGATATCGAAGAGTTATATCTTTCTTTATCTGATTCTTCACATCTCTCATCAAGATATGTCGATTGTCTTAAGACACCGTTTCCTTGTCATAGACTTTTTCGCCGTTCCATTTCTCACAAGACACGGAATCGCGTTTCACTACATCTCTCGTAACTCTGTGTTACATGTTCATCAAAAGGTTCCAATCTCCGCTTTGAAACGCTCAAGAAAATCTCCTTATAAACCTTCAAAGCCCTTGCAAACTAAACCGGTTCCGGTACATAAAAAGCCGATTCAAGCTCTGAGCACGATCAACACTGTACTCCCGCTGAATCAAGAACAAGAACTGCTTGATGGTTCGTCGATCACAGCTAAACCTGACGAGCTAGTTCATGAGAAGTCGTTTCAAGCTCCGAGCACGATCAAGACTGTGTGGTCGCAGAAACCAGAGAAAGAACGGTTTGCTAGTTCGGTCACAATAGGTGCTGCTCCGTCGCCTAGACACGTTCCGGTTCCAATGTTCTGTCTTAAGAGAGAAGATTAATTAAGGAGTTCAAGCTGTTTATTATTTGTTTATCTTTGTAACAGTGGAAAATCTTTCTTTTACGTTAGTTTAGTCATGAGTACTGTAAATGTAACTGTAAAAGATCCACAAGTCATAAACAGTATTTTCTTCTTTGTATTGTTATTTCTTTATTAATCTGTCAAGTGTTTCTATTATGTGTTCTTTTCTTTTCTTTTCTTTTTCCTTTGAAAACAATTTCCAATATGTGTTCATGCAAAAGTTCTACATATATAAACTAGATCATTAATTACCAGTTTGTTATTGTCTCTTCTCTTTTGGGGACAACCCATGTTCGGGAATGCACTAGGCGCTAATCGGGTGGTACGGCTGGACCTAACGTCTAGAAAGAAAATTGGGGATTAAGCGGAGATTATACAAGGCATAATTTTTAGACTATTTAATATGTTATGAAATATGTTAATCTTTAATTGTGTATAACATTAATACATTTTCATGTTTAAAATCTTATAAAACACATAAATAGAATATATAAAATTAATATGATATAATTTTCATCAAAATTATAATTATAAGTTATATTTATTAAATTTTAGATCAAATAAATAGATAAAATATTATTAAAAAAATAGATTAGGTGGCCCCCTAACTGGCTAGGTGGTCATCAAGACGGTCTAGGAGAAGCTAAATTCGAACTACCGATTTTCTACAGCGGTTTGCATAAATTGGAGCGGAAAAGGTTCGTCTAGCCGATTTTTAGAACATAGGGGACAAGTAGTTTAATTTTGATGTTTGAAGCAGAGACTGTTTTACTACTTTAGCTTGTCGAACTGTTTTTGGCTTGACGTTTTGTGATGGATCGTGTAAGCAGTCCACCAGATCTTGTCCTTCTTTCCCACAATGCATGCTGGTGTGACTTACGGTTCCCTCCAATGTCTGAAGTAAAAATATATAATATACCATATACAATTTTACTGTACTGATTTACTGTGTTTGCAATCCTAATACTAAACGATACTAATCATCTGCAGTGAGAGACAACAACAATAGCTTGTGGCTTAGAACCCTTATGTTGTGGGTGAACAAGGTGGATCCAAACCATACATGCTTACCATTGATAGGACATGTATGCTTCTAGGATATGAGTACACGAACAACTTGTGTCCTATCCACAAAATCTTTGTCATGACAGACAAGAAAACGAAAAGGAAGAAGACACAAATGCGAAACTTATTAGCCAAAATAATCACAAAAGTTTTTTTTCTTTAATCACAAGTTAAATTACAGAATGAGAAATACAGGTAAAAAAAAGGATCATCCATCCCAAGGCTTTTGTTTTAAGTCGCCTTCCGATTGACTTTCAGGTATGGAAGAGCTCCGATCACGTTGTCATAGTCGCTCCTGCTAACTTCGTGCTGCATTACACATGACAAGAACAAAAGTTTAGACAATGTGTAAGAGAGAAAAGAAGAGAGCAGCTAAATGAACAAAGCCAGTACACTTGGACTTGTTGTCATGAAAATTTATGCCATTGAAAAGATTTCACAATTTCCTGATGGAAGCGAATGTAGTTATTCTCTTTCTTTTCCTAGCGCTGATACATTCAACGAAAGCAACTTACAGCTAATTGCTACAGCCTAAAACACAAAGAATGCAATGCAGTACAAAAAAAAAACACCCTTCGAGATATGTAGTCACTATCAACCCTGAACCGAACGTGAAAAAGAAGAAAAAGACTGTAAATTTTGCAAACAACAAGAAAAAGAGAACAGAAGAAGCAGAGCCACAAACCATTTTGGAAAGACGGAGCTTCCTCTTATTGTTCTTCTTAGCTAACAAGTGCTGCTTCCCGGATCTCCTCCTCACTATCTTCCCCCTTCCCGTTACTCTAAACCGTTTCGCTGACGCCTATCAACAAATAAATAAATATATAAATAAACACATTATGCATTTTGCAATCAACAAAAGACTTAAACAGCAACCAAGAAAAGATCCAAGAAAGAGATAGCAATCAAAATCCAAACTTTCGAACTCAATTTATCAGAAACGCAGAGGAAAGAGAGGGACCTTGTGTGTTTTCATCTTATAGCCCTTATGAGCGAAAACAGTAACCACCCGAAGCCTTTGAGGATTCTGAGAAACGACTGTTGATATCTTCTGAGGAAGAACCGCACGAAGCCCCGAGATGCAATGTGTTGAGCCAAGATTGAATCGAGCGAATTGGACGGAGCCGTGAGTTGAAACCTTTGGGGAAACACGTAAAGGAGAGAAACTAAGGTTAACGGAAGCCATGGAGAGAGATGCCATTAGAGTTTTGTGCTCTTTCGGCCACTTTTGATCTTCTTTTTTTTTGCAATCCTCCTCACTAGAGAAGATAAGCTTTTTTTTGCGTTTTGCCCAGTGAAGAATGTGAAACGGATAGAAATTCCGGTTTTATACGGTTCAGAGGATCCATTTGATGGGTAAATCGGGATCGTCAGATTTTATGTAAGTACTAGGGAAAGCCCGCGCTACGCGCGGAATTTGATATTTTGTGAAGAAAAAAAATAAATATTTGTTTGTAAATGTACTGAATTGTGATGTTCATTGGTTTGGACCCATATTTTGTATGATTCTTTAGAATTTGTTATAGTTTCGTATTTTCGTTGTGGAGAATGTTTGCTTATCTCATTGTTTCTTTTATGTAAGATTGGAATGCAATATTTTAGAAGATAACAAATGTGTTATTAAGGTTCAGCCTAATTACAATATATTTTTAAAACATATATTATATTACTAAATAGAATAAAAACTCAATTTTTTAGGGTAATGAATTGTTGATAGAGGATTTCCTCTCTTATTTCTCTCACTTGAATCTTTAGATAAGAGGGAATCATTTTTTTTTTCTTGGATGAAGTAGTTTTCACATGTGTTCTAATTTTTAATATTTATTTAGTTTAACATTTCACATATGCTTATATTTATTATGACGTTTTCTAATTTTTATTTGATGTATAACATGTTGTGAGACTGTACTATTTTAAATATTAT